ACTTTTGCCCTCAGAGCATTTTATGAACATAATACTTGCTATGCATAAGTTTTCAAATAAAAGCAGCTGGGCTTATTGGTACCAACAGCTTGGAATTACCTTCTTATGGTTAAATATGCAAAGAAATGACTAAAGCCAGAATGCCATTTTGCTATTCTAGATCCAAATATAGTTTTGTTGAGTTAATGAGGAAGACAGTATATGAAGATAAATATATTAATGCAAATACCATGAATTTTAAACTAAATATAAGTGTAATCAAAGCATAGGTTGTATTCTATGAAGTTGCTATTTTGTGAAAAAGAAAAAGTAAAACAAAGAAATTACTGTCAAAACATCAGTATATTTGCTACTTGTTTGGGAGAGGTTGAGAATAACAATCTGGAAAGGGCACTTGGGGGTTTCACAGGACAGAAAAATGCTCCCTTTGTGTGGGGGTCATATGGCCGTTCACTTTATATAACTAGTTTATAATTCTATGGATTTCCAGTTCTGAGTATTGCATAGTTTTTTTTTATTTGTATATTGGATAACAAAATAAAAATGTAAAAAGCAACTTTTAGCAAGAAAATACACATTATTACATGTATCTGTATATACTTCTAATGAGAATCTTTACATTTTCTATTTATCAAAGAGAGAAATTCATTAAATGATTCTCAAATATAGCTTCTCAGCTTAATTATACTGCTCTATAATTGTATATTTAAACATGATGTGCTATGTCTTCAGTGGATCAAAATCATAAATCTGCAGATGTTAGTAACAGAAAATTAGGAACAAAAAAGTCATTAGAGATATTTGTGTTTCACATATACAACAGAATAGAATCTTAGGGAATATTTTTGGGGGGATGGACACAGATTATTTTAAACATATCCTGTAGAATATTAGTTGGATAAATCAGGCGGACAAGACTATTCTGACTGGATACTCAGAAGTGCTGGGAAACGACTGCATGAAATTTATCATTTTCTAGTTCTCTGGTTTTATATTTCATCTTATTAGAGTTTCTTTAAAGGATCTGTGTTTTCACTGACTTGATCTAGGTTTGTGGGAAATACTAAACTTCAGAGAAACAAGATGGGTAAGATACAATAAGTAAGTCATTACAGAGAGATTCTTATAATAAAAAACATACAAGGAAATTATTGCCAATTGATGAATGTATTATTTTACTAGTTGTACATAAGAGGTAAATTTAAATTTTTTAGTATGTTCAGAATGATTTTAATTATTTTTCTCGCTTCCCAGCTAGATCTATTTGATGAGATTGAAATACAACTATAAATACAGTATTAAAAAGAATAAGCTAAGATGTGTTTATAGAGGCAAACACAACCTTAAACTAAAAACTTATTAAATATATCAAAAACTAAGAAGGGAGTATTTATAATACACACAGAAGAACTGAAAGATTTCTGGAAAATATGATAGCACCTATAAAAACAAAACAAAATTCTGAGGAAAGGAAATTCTATCAGCTAGACATTTGTCTATGAAAACTGAAATTGCTTAGGAAGAAATCAAACCTAAGATCATAGACATTATCTTTGCGACAGTACTTACACCTGCAAAAGTCTTATTTTCTTTTATATCTTAATGGGACACTAAGTTACATTATAGTAAAATTCCAATGGTTCTTTGCTCAAAATATGGTTGTCTTTTATACTAATGAAATCATTAATCAGACAGAATGATTTAGGAGTCAATATACACGATATAAGTCAACTATCTCCTTTGTGGGTATTTCAGTGATCATAATGAGTGCACAGCCTGCAAGTATCTGATCTGCTGAGGCAATTGATTTAAGGCTAATTGGCTTACCAGAAGAATCTCCCTCAGGTTATCCAACTGTTAATCTCCTAAGTACCCATCAAAATTGAATCCAAACATCAGCTCATTTGTCTAAAGTGAATAAGATCATGAATTATGGTATCATGTTTATCTAATCATGGTTATCATGTTTATCTAAAAGTATCTCTAACTTTCAGCTTTTCATCTATGAACAGACATTAAGTAATAAAACCTACTTTGTGAAAGTTGTTCTGAGGATAAAATGAGTGTAAAAAATGAGTGTAAAATAAATACTTCCATATAACAGACTCTAGATCATTAGTTCCCTTCTCCCCCAAGTGAAGTTTTCCTTGTCCTCAGCTGACTTGGTTTGGTCAACCTCTTTTTTTTTAAAACTTAGCATTTTTTTAAATGGAGGTACTGGGGATTGAACTCAGGACCTCATGCATGTTAAGTATGTGCCCTGCCACTGAGCTGTACCCTCCGCACTGGTCATCCTTTAATTTGCTATTTCTTAGCACCTGAATATACTGTTACTGGAAAGCACCGAAAGAACCCAAATCTACTTCACCCAATATTCTGTAAGCTCTTTAGGAGCTTCACATGTTCTCTTTGTATGGCAGTGTTGGTAATCTTGTACAAACTTAATTACCTGTTAGAGGAAAAAACTGCTTAAACACGTCACAGTTATGCTGCAATGTCAATCAGTCGTGGCTGATCAAGTAAGGTACTTACTACTTTAAGGTACTGAAAAAAAAAAGCATTTGTGAACTTGACTGACAAAAGCCCTATGCATTTCAGGATAACTGAGACGATGCTAGGAATGAATTGAGTCTTTTTTTTTTTTTTTTTTTGGATAAATCTAAAAGCGATTGCTCAATACAGCACTTACTTGCTCTTGATGTTGACTGAGTGGTCTAGAGTGGACCAATCTTTCTGGCAGTTTTCGATCCAGACCGTGTCCATTTTCCAAACGAGACTCCCTGGGTTTGTCAAACCAATCTGTTTCTTCACGACGCAGGTGATAGGCTTTGGAGACCAAGGAAACATCAAACATTGCAACCCCAACCAATACAGATGACAGAGGGCGGCAGGTGTTCTGAAGTACCAACATGCTCCAGGTTTATTAACCATTCATGCATTTCAAACACAATTCCCAATGGGATGAGAAAAACCATATCCCATTCTATGTTAAAAATTTTCCACCATGGAATAACCTAGAAAAAATAATGTATCACCTTTTCAACCTTTCAGAGCAAAGTAAAACAATTTAAATTTAAATCAAGTGAAAACAGAAATTTAGATAGTGATTGAACAACTGAATGAACAAATGACTATTCCTCAAAGGCCATTCTATTCAACTCCGGTCCATTAGTTTTACCTCCTCACCTCCCTCCACCACCCCACCAAAATCGAAGGAAAATCTATTCCTGCATACAGAAGATGCTGTCACTTCCCCACTATCTTTATCAGTCCAGTACCAACATGTGGCTGCTGGCTTTGGACACAAGTGAGTATTGTTTGAAAACATGACATTTCTATGACACTCATAAATAAATGAAAACATTTAAGACGATCCCACATATCACTGCCAGAACACATATGCCATAATCACCTGGTAGACTAATATTAATGATAATGTCCATTAGAATTTTTCATTAAAAATTAAACTATTATCTTCGGTGAGATCACTGATTTAGGAATTAGAGAAGGGTTGATTGACAGCTTTCTGTATTTATAAGGTGACAACACTTGACATCTTAAAATATTTCTTTGAAATTACAACCATATTTGAGTACATAGAGATTATTTTAATTTTTTCATCCCATTCAGTTCTTAATAATTCCAAAGTCTTTTAAAGTTTTTATTTAGTGACCCCAAATCCTATTTATATTCTAAAATATAGATTTTGACTTTATCTGAAGTTTTATTCTTATAAAAGGATCCCTAACAGTCTCTGGAAATACTGCTGCTTCCTAAACGACATTTGGAGCACCTCCTCTCAAACGCACAGCCTGAAAGATGTTGATGGTGCTATCAACCTACACTTTCTTGAAACTTTAGCTTCTAAGTGCCATACTACTGAGTCTTCCTCTCCATCTCATTACAGTCTCCTTCTGTTTATATTACTGACTCTCTTCTCTTCCACAACTTTCTCACAAATCTCTTTTTCCAGGCAACTTCCATTATTTCTTTGCTGGCAAGCCTGGCAAATCCAGCATATAATCAATCACTACTCACCTCTACCCTTCTTGTGATCTTGGTCAATGACAATGATTAACCACAGCACTTTCTCCCAATAAACACGGAGTGACAGATGACGTGTCATAATGCAGTCAGTCTTAGGTTTGAGGAAACACAATGGTACGTACCTGGTTTGCGGCTGCATATGTACTTGTCTGATTGTCCCTATCAGACTCTAAGCTGCTCGAGGGTAAGGCTCATATCTTCTTTTTTTCTCCCTCAAATACTAAAAATAATGCCTTGCAAATGCCATAATATTCATCAAATATTTGGGAAATGAATAGAATAATGAGATGAATAGAATAGAAAAATTAGTCATCAACTAAAGAAAGCTAAATATTCTAATTGTGATAAGCACATTTTAAAACATACATTAATTTGTCCCTTGAACCTCATTAATGGTAACACAATATTTTCTCACAATCTTCTCAGTATTTATTATGGTTTTTCATAGTTTTAATTGGACACCAAGTGACTAAATTTATGAAAGAAATATTTACTGTAAAATAAATTTGATAAGTAAATAGAAAACAAATCCATTATTTAGTCATCACTCTCTAAAACTTATTAGATTATCACCAAACACACTAATATCATTTAACCTTACTTTTTATATATCTTTATTACACATTTCTGATGAAAAGAAAAAGAGTCTCTACTGATTTTAATAAATTACTATCTTGGATAATGTAGAACATGATTTCACTTGAATATATAACTTTGCTAATTGCATTTGAAATACGAATGCTTTAAAATGTTTCTTTGGCTATGTTTACACAAATAAGGCAGAAACCCACCCTGATTCAAATTTAGTCAGTTTAGTTCCGATTTTGATGACATAAGTTTGACTGTCTATTATGTAACTCTGAGTCTGTATATAACTAAGTTAGGATGGCTACCGTGCTTTGCATAGGAATTTACAGATCAACCAAGAACAACCAGATTAAATGAATCTGCTTTTATGTTGGATTCTATCTTCAATATTTACACCAAGTTAGTCATAAATGCTAATTGTTTATAACTGCAACTGTCTGACCTGCTGTGATAGATCTGAACTTTAAAAATTAACTTTTAAAATAATAATAATAATAATAATAATAATA